CACACACACAAACGTGGAAAATGCGTCGTGCACGATACGCTAACACATTATCAGTTGCTGAAAAATTAAGCTTATAAACTATGGTCATCATGCTCACTGCCTTTCTCCCACTCAAGTAGCACCTGAGCACGTGAGTGAGATCCTGGCAATGAACACGAAAGGGGTTAAATCTGAAAATCCTCAGCTAAAAAATGATTAGTATATTCATTTTTTATCTAACGAGCTAATGATCTTTCAATAATCAAAACTCTATATACTACTTTATTAATTTGCTAAATTATTCAAACTCTATCATTGAAAAAAAAAGATTCCAAATGAAGTGGGAATTTATTTATAAAAGAAACAAATTTAATGCAATGTAAGAATTTTATATTAAATATAACTAAATAAGCGATTCCTTCATCAAAGCAAATTTTCGAATACGTGAAAACAATAACAAAATTTATTGCTTTGATTCTGAAATCTGCCAACCGTGAAATTTCTTCTTGCACATAAAAAATACATTTTTTACGGAAAGAATTGAATTTTAATGTATTAAATTATGTTTAAATTCATAATGTTCAAATTAAAAAAAAACCATTTAAACTATTAACAGAAGATAGAATAAAAAAGTATCTGTGACTGAAAGTATTCATAATATATATTCTCATTATTGTAATTATAAATTATATCACAACGAAGCCGGAGGACATCCGACTTCTCCACTATATAATATTCAATGTAAGTAATAATTCCAAGATATATATTTATTCAAATATTTACATCCTGTTCATACATATATCTATATTCATATATTTAATTTTTACAAATATTAATATTAAATATACTTTGAATTATGTTAGAAATAATCATATCAAATATTCTTTACTTTTACTTTCTATCATGACTACTTGAATTAATTATTACCATGTCATTCATTTCTATCAGCCAATAATCTACCATCATTACATTACATTCACAATTTCAAATTATTATCATTATAAAACACGAAATGCAAGAAGACCTATCCTGAACTAATAAATGAAACACATGAAAGAGAAATGTTACTACTCACGGATATAATAAATATCCATGGTTACTATGCTCGTAAAAAGTTCTACATAATACAACCAGTCACCCGTGCCGATTCGAATCTTTCATTCTACGACATGACTGAGTGACCAGAGGAACAAAAATACATGCGACTCACGATTAGATGCAAAGAAGATACATTCCAAGGCATAGAGGGAGTCATCGTGAAGTTCATTATCAAAAGTAAGTCATCAAATCCCATGCTATGGAAGAAGTGAGCACTGGAACAAATCTGCAATAATACATAGAGACTGTATTATGAAATAGTAATTAACGTAAAATACAAGGAATATCAAATAAAATACGTACGGCATACGATTAAATGCAGCAGCGTGGATATAGACGGTGAAAATATGGCGACGAAAGCACTAGTTAATGAACATCACAACGCAGAAAAATACATCTTAACAGTACGACTTTCAACAATGGAATAACGCTCGCGCAACAGGTTAGCGTTCCAAACTCATTTAATGGAAATACCTAGAACGGACGAAAAACAAAGTGTTCTAAGAAATGTTTATGAATGTAAATATCTACGCATCCAAATTTCATTGACCGAATGTTTAGAACCTAAATAATATAAGACTTGTAGTACGCTATTTATATTATACATGACAAATATTATTATATATTATTTGAAGTATAGATTTAGTGATCATTTCTTTAAATAATGCTTACTGCAAACTCAACGATGCAAATACATCTAAAAAATATCAATTATAGATTTACCTTTTATTTTCCTGGTAAATGCTTCCTTTCACTGTGTTTCTTATCCCAAACTAACTGTATATTGATCGCGAGAAGTATCGATTACGTTCGAGAATTATATTTCCACATTTCACCGTTTCATTGACAATCGGCGCTGTAATCTTTTCCTAACCACAGACAATTTCGCGCGCATTTTATATAAAGTTCGTATATACATATATTTTTGTTTTTTTTTATCGACAAAATACTAATACATTAAAAATTTTTTGTGATTATTTCATCTGAAATTATCATATTTCACTGATTGAGCTTTGAATAGCATATATACAATATTTCAATTTTGCGCCGTCTTGATTAAAAGCGCAAATGTACCGCCAAAAATAGCTGTACGACGCCACCAGTCAGGTATCGGAAAGCGTAGTAAAAAATGTCAATCCATTTCGACAAGTGTGAATTTTTATAATACACACAATTCTATTATCTTTTACAGACTGCTAACAGGTTCGTGTAATTAACATGTTCTTATTTAATACTTTCATAGATATTATTATAACGATATTAAATAATTTACCGAACTTTATTCGATTTCAGTCTCTAAATTTCAAACCTTTTAGCAAAGTATCAATTTCTATAATTATTAAAGTTTATTGAATTTATAATGTTTACTTTATTGACGTATTCACTTCAATGCAATTTCATATTTTATTATTTCAAGTTTTTTAAATAATTATCTTTATACTTTTAAAAATATATAATGCTATAAAAAATAAAATGATTCATAGATGATTGAACACATTTCCTGTAATATCTACGTTTCACACAAGAGGGCACCACGCATATCACTTAAAGTTGTGTTTGATCGATAATTCGAGACGTTTCTGATTTACAGACGTGGTGAGTTAATAAATTGCTGTGGTTTTCAACGTCAGCTTCGAGTGGTTTATTTAGTGGGTAAATTAAGAATCAAGTTTCCTTCTTATCTCGGAGAATAATGTCAAAAAACGAGAAGAAATTCGACGGAATGTTGCTGGTCATGGCCCAGCAACACGAAGGTGGTGTACAAGAGGTAATTGTTTCTTTGCCGGTTTAGGTTAGATTTTACTTGGAACACAACAAAATTATTTTCAAAATTGCGTATTTATTCACAACATCACGTATCAATGAAATATCGTTTATTTCGCAGCTGCTTGACACAATCTTCAGTTTTCTTGCGAGAAAAACAGATTTTTACACGGGAGGTGGGGAAGGAGCTGCAAAAAAAGTAATTGTCATTTTTATATGATTCTAAGCTTTTATGTCAGTAATCGATATTATTACTTCTTGTGGATTTTACATTTCGTATTGCCATCTTTATATTTATAGCTTGTCATTAGTAAATTCAAAAAGCATGAAGCTACAGCTATTGCGAAAGTAGCCAGTGAAAAGGCAGAACGCGCAGAACAAGAAAAACGGCGTAAAGAAAGGTTGGAAAAGAAAAAGAGAGAAGAGAAAGCTAAGGAAGAAAAACTTAATTCAGAGTCTAAGATTGTTGAACTGACTGATGAACAGGCTGTTAAGTTACAGGAGGAAATAAACAATAAAGTATGTGGCTGTCAAAAGCCTTCATTAAGTAGGTTATGTCGAAGAAACTCAATTATACTTATGATTTTGATTACAGCAATCGGCTAAAGAATTACCTGCTGTTCCTGGTCCAAGTGGCGATAATGTAGAGAACGATAAAAAGGAAGAAAACTCAGAAGAAGAGGAAGAAGATGAAAGAGAGAAAAACAAACTCAGGCCTAATAGTGGAAACGGAGCAGATTTACCCAATTACAGATGGACTCAGACACTTCAGGACTTGGAGGTAAGTAATATCACGCATGTAATTAACCCTTTGCGGTCTTATGTTGAGTGTGACTCGACATCGCATTTTGTTCTGGCGCGTTCTTTGTCAAGTTTCACTCGACAATGTCTCAATCTTAATCTAAATGAGATAAGATAAGAGCTACGGTGTAGCATATCCGAAATAGGCCATGCCTCTTGAAATTAAGGGCTTAGTTTTAGTTTTTTCAAACCCATCGTAGCGTACAGTTCAAATTCGTAGTACAGCTAGAAAGCATTTTCAAAGTCTAAATTTTTATAAAATAATTTTTTTTTTGTAAAGAATATGGCTAAACGACAGAGTCGACGTACAATAGTGCGTGACAATGAATTTGAAAGTGATGATAGTGATTGTTTGGAGGACATAGAACAACAATTTCAAAGAATGTGTGCATCTGAAATCGAAAGTGGTGAAGATTCAGAGGACATGTTTACATTCAGACAAAGCAGACGTATGAATTGTGATACATTTGAAAGTAGTAATGAAACGGACCAGAACAGCGATTGGCAGAATGTTACTGAAAACGACACCTATTCCAGTTCCATCGAATTTTCTATGGGAGACAAGGTGCAAGGGCCGCAAGTTCCGAGTGATTGTATTACACCTCTG